GAAGTGGAGATTGTACGATATCACCGTGACGGTATTGGCATGTAAGAGATTGGACGAGATTTAAGTTGCTCCCAATGCTCAAAGAGATGACTACATCAAGCCGAAATTGTCCGAAACTACATCTCACTGTCGTCATGGGTTATGACAAGTTGTTTGAACATCCCACATGGGAGTCTCTTGAGACAGCGCAGCCTCTACATACAAAGTCGTTGAAACTCGTCCACGATGGGCGTGGCATTCACACGATACAATCCCTAGCCCCTTGTGCCCTTTCCAGGAGGTTTTTCGACTTTATACCGGCAGGTATGGTATAAGGAGAGGCCTCGAATTCATACCATGGGGAAATCTCAGAAACCATTTTCATGGTGAACTGTGCCTTTGAATGTTGTCGTGACTCATACACCCTTCGTCGAGACTTGTATCGTATTTTAGTTCCAACAAATAGGGAAGGAAAAATCTTTGTATATTATTTTAGATGGAAGTGCTTTCCTCGACTATAACGTCTATAGCGACTTCATCGATGGTACCACTAGAGAGGGTTTGTTTTCTGTTTTAGAATCTCAAATATTTTCCACCGTTCCGGCGTCTTGGCGCGCTACTTCACAGAATTGGCGATTCGTAAGCATATATGCAACCTAAACAGAACATATAATGTATAATCTCTCACAACCCTGAACATTAGTGAAGTCAGAGTACTTTGATAGCAACAAAGAGCAAGTTTCATACTATTCGGATAAAAAAGAAGACGTTTGCATAACTCAAAACTTTAATTGCTGTCCTAGCAGAAACTTTTCTAGGGATCTTGTGGTTGCTCGAAAACGCAGAATAAAGATCAAATATTTTACTTTAACTAGGTGTCACTCGCTCCGTTCTATTGAACAGTAGTCGGAGTGAAGCAAACATCGTCGTCGAACGTAGTAACAGTAACAGTAAGTAACATCAGCGCGAAGTATTAAGACGGATTCATGAACCATCACGCACCAAACCAGCAAACTGTCAGGGGTCCATTTGTTCATATCTTGCTCAAGATGCTGTAGCCAAAACTTTGCCATTCCTTGCCCTATTGCCTTTAGACTGTGTGAAACACCTCAGCGACCCTTTGCGAATTTTACAGTTGAGCCACAACAGAAGTGCCGTCTATTGGAATGGACAGCTCTTATATATCGCTATCCTTTTAGTGATGGCTGAAGAGATTTACCTTGGCTTCCAGAGCGGACCAATTGCTGACACCTGTCTTTCTCAGCTGTGGAAATGGCCTGCGTAAGGGGGAGCCTAGGATATTTTTAAGATCGAAAGACCGAAATCAGGGGAACCAAGCTGACGAGTCTTCATTGTTTCTGGCAATCCGTTCCGTCACGATGGCCACCCTATAAGACCGTATTGGAAAGTCCATCGAACTTTCACTGTAAGGGAGCCTCAGATCCAATGGAATCACTGATTGAAACTAATCAACTTATTACTCTCTTCCTTTGCCGCTCCTCCATGTACTGAGCACATCAAGGCTCCTTCAAACCAGAATTCTTTGACAAAGGAAACAAGGCATCACGTTTTGCTCAAAGTGCTATCAGATGCCATAAAAGCAGTAGAAGACGATAAATAGGAATCTATTGTGAATATTAGTTAAAGATTCAAATAGATGCAATGGAGAGTTTCGAAATTTCGTTTGTTCCTGGCTTTGACCACTTTTAGAACATATTCTTCTTCTTTCTAATTCCTTTTTCCCAAGTTGATCGCTTTTTTTCAGTCCTCCGTACTATGGGTGCTAATCGTTGGCATCGTGATGGCGTTTCTTCTCGGGGCAGGTCTTGGTGCTAACGATGTGTCAAACACATTCGGAACATCTGTTGGAAGTGGTGTCGTCACTATAATACAGGTAGACTGGTATGAGAGAAATGAGGATTCGTGCTTCAAAATAGTCCAGAAAACCTAGAAACTAGTTGCGCTCTTGCATAAAAAAAAATTAAGGCTCGACCAAAAATTCAGTTCTTGTATTAAGACCATACGCAAGGTCCATCACTAGCAAATTTCATCACCATAAAAACGCATAGATTTTCTGTATCATATACTTTCTACAGTCGAATCTAGTAGTGAATTTTAAATTTTCATTTTAAGGCTTATATCCTGGCGTCTATATTCATCTCTCTTGGAGCAGTGCTTGTAGGTAACAGATTTCTAAAAGTTATGGCTTTATTTTTTTCTTTTTCGTCCTCTAAATGCGAGAGATGGGCTACGCATTGAAGGTTGGTCGGTTACGGATACCATGCGGAAAGGAGTGGTGGACGTGACTGAGTACTTCGGCAACCCACGCGAACTGATGCTCGGTCAGGTGGCATTACTTGGAGGTAATGAAAACCTTCTTACATTAAGGCATTGTCTGCGCTATGCCCCAGTGGTTCACTGAAGTGTCTGTGCCAATCAACCCTCTGAAAAGGCCCGAATCTCCTCGGTTAAAACAGCGACCGTGAGTGGGCAGCTCAGGCAAAATTCCCTAAAGATGGATTAGTCGTTTGGTGTGGAGAACACGATGAGACTTCCTCTCGTTTACAAAACAATTAGGCCGGAAATTGACATCACGAACTGATGCTCGGTCAGGCGGTATTCTCATGTTCCCCTAATTACTCTAGAAATTTAGGTACAGCTGGATGGTTGGCTATCACAACTGCTCTCAGAATGCCGGTGTCAACTACACATGCTATGGTTGGGTCTACACTAGGTTTCTCGTTGGTCTTACGTGGCACGGAAGGCGTGAACTGGGATGAGATCTACCGAATCAGTCAGTGTTTCATGTTCTGATTCTTCTCGTTTGTATTCATCATGCTACAATATGAGAAAAACAAAAAAAATCAAATGAAACTGATTATTCTTGCAGTTGCCTCTTGGTTCCTTTCCCCCGCGCTTTCGGGACTTATCTCCGGTGTCCTGTACTTGATTGTCGACATTGCTGTACTCAGACGGGTATCTTTCTACAACTCGATCTATTTCATTCCTTCCAGGAGAAGGTTGCAAATAAAATTCCTCTTTTCATAAAAGGAGTAGGTAAAAGAGTAACCTTCTTTCATATGCCACAATTGATATCTTATGAAGGGAAAAGCTTGTCAATCCTTAAAACGGGCTGACTCCGAGTAAAGCTTATAAAACCAAATAGGCATTTAAACCGCCCCAGTCATCAGTATTCTGTTCGACTTATTTTGACTCTAAAAACTGGTCCAATCATATCCTTCTGACGAAAAAGGGTCATCGACGCGCTTGTGCTCATTGAAATGAGGTTTCAACCTTTTCACGTATATTCTTGATTAAACGGAACTACTGTAGGAGATGAAAACGATAGTGTCGCTCATTGAAAAGAAGTGGTTTTCTTCCTGATAACCTCAAAGCGATAGTGATTAATCTGTTAATCGAGAGTTCTTAGAATCATCCGTTCGAGTGTGGTCTCCGCGCACTTCCAGCATTCTATTTTTTCGTGATTTCATTCAATGTTCTAATGGTCACATGGGACGGATCAAAACGTAAGTCCTCTTCTTCGAGAACCATCAAGATCTCTGAACATCAGACCAATTTCCCACTTTCAGTCCTCCACTTTGACCGTATTCCTTTTTGGGGAGCGGCGTTGATATCAATTGGTATCGGATCGATAGTCGCACTTATTGTACAGTTTCTGGTGAAACCAAGACTTTGGCGAAAAATTCAAGGTATGAATCCAAGGTATGAAGAAAATGTGAAGAGGGATTGGCTGCTTTCATAGTCTGCCGGCCGGCG